AAAGAAAGAAAGAAAGAAAGAAAGAAAGAAAGAAAGAAAGAAAGAAAGAAAGAAAGAAAGAAAGAACTGGTAAATAAACTGGCACAACAGCACATGCCTGTAATCCTAGCACTCTGGGATGCTGAAGCATGAGGAGTGCAAATTCAAGTTCAGTGAGCAGTATAGTCTCAAAATTAAAAATATAAAAAGGGCTGTGTATGTAAATCAGTGTGAAGGTCCTGCATTCAAACCCTAGTGGGGGGGGCTGATAAATAAAAGATTAGCATTTCAAATTACTTAAAGATTCCAGTATAGAAACACTCCAGTAATACAGTACAAAACAGATGAGTCAGATACTGTTTTTTCCATAATATTAAATTTGGGGGTGTGAAATGTTACTGAACTACTTTAGGGGTTATGGATGCTAAAGTGCTCTAGGTAAAGTCTGCTACCTGCAGAAAGTTCATGAAAAAAACTATACAGAAAAGATAACACAAATGTAAAAAAGCTAATAGCAGGCCAATATGGGTAAAGGATATGTAGATATTCATTATGCTATTCCTTTACTCTTTCCATATGTTTCAAATGTTAAAAATAAAAAGGGGGAGGAACACATCCTTGTGAATGTTCAGAGCTACATTGCTTTTAAGAGCCCAAAGTCAAAACAATCCAGACATATGTACCAGCAGTAGCAGAACAATTAAACAAAAATTAAGTTAATGGGGCAGGGGATATAGCTCAGCAGTTCAGTGGCCTGCTTTGCAAGCACAAGGACCTGAGTTCGATCCCCGGTACCGAAAAAAAAAAAAAAAAAAGTTAATGTATAAAATGTGCTATATTCATACAAAAGAGTACTATATGCAAAGAAAATGAACTACTACTAACACACCACATGGGTAAAACTCACAAATAACAATGAGTAAATGAAGCCAGACACAAATAGGATGTACATCATCTGTTGAATAAACATTTCAGACAATACTTAGATAAGATCAGGGTATCATTTATCCTTGTTTAACAAAAGTTTTACAGACAGATCAAAATGTAAATGTATAAATTATTTAGGAGAACAAATTCCTTTCAGGCACCTTCAAGCAACATTTACAAAAACCATCTACATAACTATGTACCTGCTCTACTAATCATTGCTGGTTTGTCAACAACATCCAAGTGGGCAACAGATCTAATTTGAATAAAAAAAAATTTTTTTTTGGTACTGGGGATGGAATTCAGGTCCTTGCACTTGTGAGGCAGGTGGCGGCACCACTGAGCTAAACCCCTGGCCCTGAATAAAAATATGTAATAGTTTTGACATAGTCAGAGACTACCATAGGGACAAAGGACATACTTCTGGGCCCTTAACCTGTTACTCATCAAAAGCATGATTTGTGTTTTCTTCTAAGGCAGTCAGAGACTTAAAAAGTAGTTTTTGCTAAAAACCATACTCTTCCCTTGGGCCTAAAGACAGTTAAAACAAGTACTGAAAGTAGAACAAAGCTTGACGTTCATTTTGTAAAACTGACTCAAATCCTTCTCAGCTCTGCATATATACATGTTAGTCATTTAGGGAGTATCTGTCTAAAAGTTGGCAAAACAAGTTTATTAGACCTAAATTCATTACTTTTCAAGACTGAAGACACAGGGATAGAAAGATTTACAGGGACATTCATTATGACTTTGGATTCAGGAAAACCTCATATGACCACCCCTCAAGTCATAAGGATTCTTCCTATGGAAACTGAATTGTCCCTCTAGTCACAGAGATTCAATGTGAGCGAGCAGACCAAAACTGAGATGACTGACCAGTCTGATCCTCTTCATCAGTGTATGCCCTCTGCAGCTACTACTCAAGCTGGAGTCCTTCTCCTATCTTTTCTCTTTCCAATTAAAGTTTTTTTCTGTAAGCTCATACTGTCATTCTAGTTTTCATTATCAGTAAAGACCCAGCCTAACCAGTGTCACATGTATCTAAATCAAACCTACATCAAAGTATTTGAGAAAGACATTTCTAACTGACCATAATTTAATGGTTCTGGATTAAAATATAAATTCAAAATATAACCAGAGTAGGAGATGATAATGGTGATGATGAAGACAACGATGACGAAGATAAGATGTGGAGGTGGAGGGGAATAAAATACTTACGTTAATATTGAAAGCTTGGACAGTGTTATCCAGGAGAAGGATGTTGCAAACCACCTCTGTATGCTGTCTGTCTCTGGCCAGCTCTGATGCTCGTACATTGTAGGTTCTGCCAGCAGGCAATCGGAAACGTGAGGTCATTACTGTCCACACAAAATCTAAGTTTAAAAAAAAAATGTTTTTTCACTAAATAAATGGATAGTGGAAGATACAGTATAGTTTGAAAATAATTTATTATATGTTTTTAATTAGACTTATTATTTAGGCAGAAAACAGTTTGCAATTTTGAAACACGAGGATAAGAATTGTAGATATAAAAGAGACTGCCTTAAAAAATGGGATTTATTTTGAATTGTTCCATTGAGAGGACTTAATGCAGTGTATGGCCATACTACCTGAATGCACCCGATCTCATCTGAAAAGACTTAATATACAATTTTTTCAGGCATTCAAATTTCAATTCAAAATATATAAACTGAAAAGTAGCCAAAATAGAGATCTGCCATCTCAGGAGTTGGATATTACTCCTGATGCAAGTATTTTAAAAACTGCAGAATGACAACAGGAGAGATTATAATTTTGGCAGGACATGCCTTTTCCCCCATAGAACTTTGGAGAATCATACGAAGCTTCCTTTAAAAAAAAAAAAAAAAAAAAACAGCTTTTATTTTAACTATTGTTCAACTCGC